TTGTTTATTGTGTCTTATTGTTTTTGTTGTGTCCTTTTGTTTATTGTTTTGTTCTGTCTCATTGTGTTGATGTATCTCATTGTTTGTGTGTCATATTGTTTTTGTTGTGTCCTTTTTTTTATTGTTCTGTCTCTGTGTTGATGTATCTCATTGTTTATTGTGTCTAATTGTTTTTGTTGTGTCCTTTTGTTTATTGTTTTGTTCGGTCTCTGTGTTCATGTATCTCATTGTTCTGTTATGTCTCATTGTTTTGTATGTTATTGTAGGACACTGCCACCGGGTATAAACCCATTTGCAGTCAATAATAAATAATAATAATAATATAACAGAGATTTTGAAAAAGATGGAGACCTTTCTGTTAAAGAAATCTGTAAGATTGCACAAGAAGTGACTGGTTTGTCCTTGAATGATGAAAATTCCTTCATATGTAGAGAAGGTACAGTCACGTTTGTCTTTGTCCGTGATCCTTATATCGAACCATTGACAGTAATGGTGAACAGCAACACGTGCACTAATACTGTCACTGCTAACATTATGTTTGACTAGCAGTTGGTAACGCACGGTGAGTACCATGCAATTTATGCCTACAAAAAATTCATATTTTTGACGCTGTTACAACCACTGCTGAAGGATCCATGTGTTTCCAGGAGTTTTATAATTTTTAATAATGCTTGCAAAGAAGCATACATTTAAGTTTTTAACGCCATCTTTTAACGTACACATTTATTATGTGAGTGTTTGGTCCCAGTTACTTTTTTGCTAGCTGGCTTTGTTTCCAACCATTTTTAGCAGTATACCAACATTTTGCTTTATTATGGCTGTTTGTTGATTGGTCATTCAAGGAGTCATAAAGTGGCTGTGTGCACCATTTTCATTATTAAATCATTGTTGACATAACTTTTTAAAGATGTAGGTAGACATGAAATTTGAAAATTTAGTTCAGTTATTTGTAGGTGATGGTATACTAACCCAAAATAAAAAATAATTTATTTTAATATATAAAAAAAATCAGTAAATAACTTGAATTGTTTTTTATAAGGTATTGTAGATGCGTCATATTGTGAATAGTATTAAAATATATAAATATTTAAAATAACCGTCAATCACAATAAAATTTAAAGATTAAAAGATTAAAATATCATATTATGTTCCCTATCGAGTACTCGAGTACTCCATATGTAAATCGAGTACTCGATAGGGAACATAATATGATATTTTAATCTTTTAATCTTTAAATTTTATTATGATTGACGGTTATTTTAAATATTTATATATTTGAATTGTTTTATCTAAATATTGTATGAATATCTTGTTCTTGAATCCAGGGATTATTATAACTGCATGTTATGGCTTCATTTGTAGGTCTTTCATCATCCCATGTCTGATCTGTTCTTTGAACATTCTCTTGCCACTTTATTCTTTACTATTATTGTTGTTGTTGTTATTATTATTGTTATATTTTATGCAACGCCAATATGTATCTTCTTCTCTACTATAACCTTTCATACAGCTTCAAAATTTCATCTTCACTACTGCTTGAATATACAATAATTTTTCCCAATTTTGAATACTATGTGTGGTCAAACACAAGAATGGACAAACAATTTAGTTACTACAGATACAAAAATTTACATGAAACATCAATGTTTTTAATAAAGGTTACAAGTTGCACACATTACATGGTACAGTGAATATAGTGAAATGTTATTAAAAAATTATTTTACTGCATTTACCTTTGTAAATATTTGCTTTATCTATTTTTATATGTTTTTATGGTGGCAGTGTAATTAACGCTAATTAAATTGGTGATGCTCAGTTCAACTCTTTGTATAATATATGGTAAAGGTGAGACTGCCTCTGTGCCTTAGCAGTATTCCATTGTAGTGTATTTTGGTCATGGAGCCAAGGCTTTACAAATTTTAGATATAAGCATATGGGGTGAATAAATGGTCAGCTTTACACTCGGCCACTTTGGCTACATGGAAATGCCTTTGCTGCTTATCGGATAGGAGGCTGGTTGGGCCCCGTTACTGGTCTAGATGTTTAGAGAAGAGGAAAATCTCTGCCCCCAGTAATTACTGATAGGTATTTTGGTATAACAGTTAATAATGTCTTGCCCATTCTGATGTAGCATATATATCAGCAGTAACATTTAAAATGTAAAAGAAATAGAAACTTTTTCTGGTACCATTAATTGCAGTATAATTGGGAAAGCAAAGGTTTGAGAGCTGAAATAGAGTATTAACTACAAAATGTTATGTAGGACACAAAGAATTTGTTAACTCCAATTATGTGTAAGCAAGCAGTGATGCATAGCCAATGAAAGTTAAACATTTAAATATACAGTTTTGTTGTGACAATATCATCAGTGCACTTTAGTCATTCATCAATTTACAAAGTCACTTTTGCTATCTTCTTTCTGTCACTTGTGTTATCTTTGACTCTAGGTTGTTATTTACAAGTGTAAGTTTGCTCTCGGTGTTGTTTAATGTTATATGCAAA